GGATGTCTGAACAAACAAGACTGAAAAAGTTAGCCGCAGGAAAGAAACTCCTGGAAGAATACCAGCGGAGGAATGGTCCTGCCCGATCTGCAGAACCCAAGAGAAAGAAGAAGACTAAAAAAGGAGGTAACCCCAAGACAAACGCCGCTGGGGACGGTCATTCAGCTGAGGGTGTGGCCAAAGACCACGCAGGCCTTGAGCCTCCCCCGCTTCTGGGCACAGTCAGAGCTGCCGGGGTCAAGAGTGACCCGGGTCCCTCCGCCACCGAGGACCTCGAAAGGTGCTACCAAGACCTGGTGCTTGCCCTCGATGCCAGCAGAATACAAAATGAGCAGCTCTGCAGAGAGATGGAACACCTCAAGCAGGTAAATAAGGAGCTGCAGGAGCGGCAGGAGGAGACCGCCTGTATGCACGAGGCACTGGGAGCAGAGCGGGAGCAGTACAAGCTATCAGTGCAGATGGTGGCTTCAGAGAAATCCAGTTTACAATCTGCCCTGGCCCACATGTGGCAGGTGGCCGACGGAAGAGACCTGGAGCGGGACCACCTCACCAGCCGCCTGCAGGTTGTAGCGCAGCGCATGAGGGAGCTGGAGATGAAGCTGTCTACGATCTCCACCACAGAGACTGACACCGAGCTCCACAACCTCGAGCTCATAAAAGCCCTGAACCGCGTGACACTGCAGCTCCAGCAGAAGAGCAAACGCTGTGAACACCTGGAGGATGAGAACATGGAGCTGCGGGATATGCTGGATGCGCTCCTGACGCAGAAGGCCAACATGGATATACAAATGCACATGTGTCAGCAGGTGCTGGTGGAGCACGCAGAGTTGGAAATACAACTCAAGAGCATGAGAGAGCTGGCCACCACCTTCAAGCTGGAGAGAGACTCCCTGGAGGAGGAACTGATGGTGGAGAGGTGTACAGGGAAGGAGAAGGCCTGGCAGCTATTAGAGGAGGTGGGCAGGCTGAGAGAGGAGAGAGAGCAAGGGGCCAGGCAGGTGTTGGAGCTGGAGGGCGAGCTGATGGAGCTGAGAGTGCAGCTGGCAGATCTGCAGCACCCTGCGGGGCCATCTCAGGCCGAGCAGCGGCTGCAGGCTCAGGCCCTGCAGTTGCAGAAGGAGCTCAAGACCCTGGAGGAGCACCTTCACCTTCAGGTGGAGGAGAACCAGAGCCTCCATCTCCAGAGCCTGGAGCAGCAGCAGCGGCTATGGCTACTGGAGAAGAAGGAGGAGGAATGGGAACAACATGCTTCGGACTGGTGCAAGATCCTGGAGACGATGGAGAAGGAGCAGGAGACCAAGAGATGCATGCTGGTGTGTAACTGCGAGCTGAAAGAGCAGCTGGCCCAGCTGCAGGACGCCTGGCAGAGGCTGAGCATTGAGAATGACTCGCTTGCCGGCCTCCTGCACGCTGAGCAGCAGGAGAAGGAACATCTCCAGGAGAAGCTGGAGCAGCAGGAGGAGACATTCAAAGAATGGAAAGAGATGGCTGAGTCCAAGCATCAAGAGGCCCAAGAGCTGCAGGAGCAGTCCCTGGCCCAGCTGCAGGAGCTCAGAGCCACCTGTGAGCAGCACCTGGCCACCCATCAGCAGCTGAGCACGGAGAAGGAGGCCCTGCAGCAGCACCTGCGGAGGCAGACCCAGCTGCTGGAGCAGCTGCAGCAGAAGCAGGTGCAGAGCA